GTTTTGTTTGTCTTGAAAAGTGAATTCAGATGTAGATGAGACGTGTGGAGATTGTATCAAGAATTTCTAAGCCAAGACTTCATCCGTGAGTGTCGAAAAATTTTCATTCGATGGAGCAAGAAATGAAGACTATTCTTTCAACTTTCAATCCTTCAACCCCAGAAGCAAGGTGAAGCTGACTTGAAGATTATGTGACAGATTGCATTGAAGCCTCCTCAATCAATTTGATGCTATCTATGTACCTGCTGAAGTGATCCAGAAGATTCGTTTTCATTGTTCTCTCTAAGATTCTCAAGCTGAAAGTGCCATCTTTCAAGAATCTTATCAAGAAGACTCCTCACCCAATGTGTGTTTAGAGTCAAATTTTGAAGAATAGCCCAACTTCTCAAGATGAAGTCATTCATTGAAGATTCATCAAGTTCATCTTGAAGTTGTGAAGAATTTGAAGATTAATGTTGAAGCCAAGCTCCCAATGAAGATTAACAAGAAAAGCCAGCTACTTTTTAGGGGGGTTTGTTGGGTAAATTAGAAAAGTAAGCTATAAACCAATGGGGAGATTGTTGGGTCAAAAATATGTTTTATAGTTTGCTTTTCTAGGAAAATGTATTTTTATGTCTAGGACCGTAAACAGCTTGGTGTTTACGGTTGTATATGTGTTTATGGTTGTGTTTACGGTCGTAAACCCATTTACGACCCATGTCTAATATATATAAATGGTAGGTGAGTGTGAGGAGTGTACGAAATCAGGAGCTTAAGTGTGTGTAATCCAAGGTGTTTTAGAGAGAGAAACTAAAGAGAAGAAGAGAGTATTTGAGTGTGTGAATCTTGTAAGGAACTCAATTCTAATCAAATCATACAAGATTCAAGTTATTCTTCTTCTCATTCTCTTCTATTTTGATCTGACATCATCCGTATGATTGAGATTCCTCACCATCAAACGGATCTGATTGATACACAAGCAGATTGAGGACTTGCATTATAAAAACATTTAGTTACTTTATTATTATCATTATACTTATTAATGAGAGAATTAATGTCCTATCCTACCCGTTCGGCTAACGACCCTCCACTAGTCAAGAGTGCGGTGGGTAAAAGTGGATACCGAATGGCGTTCATTTTATAGACCACTTCCTTAAACATCCCTTATAGACCAGCTTCGTGAATGAGACCTAATAACGTTAAGACTGGCTTATCATATACATATGTATATATATTAATCTTTTAATATTATAACAGTATAAGGGTTGTATTCTAAACTTTTAATACACTAGGGTTTTAGAATTTAATGTTTCAAAATTAAAACTTTTAATCAAATTTTAAATTCCAAAACTTGAAGGAAAATTTTGAAACTTTTCAAAACTTTATAGATCAAATTTTAAATAAATTAAACCAAGGTTGTAAAAATCGCTCGACGTTAGCTAGTCGGTGGACTGGAGTCAAAGGATTAATCGGCTAGGCGGAGATTAATCGGGGACCATTAATTCCTAATTTGTTAGATTTTAATAAATTAAATATGACTAATATCATATAAAAGTTCATAAATACCACTAATATCATAACAAAGTAGGTTAATATGATAAATACAAGACTAATCATATCTCAAATAGTTTCTATTGAGATATAACTTCTTCAAAGTGTTAAAATTTCATCAGGTTCTATTGTTTCAGTCATTTTGTATGCATGGATTAATTGTTAGGCACTCTCTAATCTGTCAAGTAGCGCCTAAGGGTTAATCGGAGATTAATCAGGACCTAATCGGGATTTTTTACAACACTTTATTAAACTATTCAAATAATTTTGAACATTATCTTAAAATTTGACCATTATTTTTTAATTAGATGAGGATATTCGTTACCATATCAGAAAATTTGATTTTAAACAGTTAAAACAATTTAAGGTAATGATCCTTATTTAATTTAGGCCTGAAATCCGAAAAACCTGCCAACAGACGAACCAACTCGTCGAGTCAGGCCATAGACTCGTCGAGTTCAACAGACAGTGAGCAAAACGATTTTGATTCAACTTTGAACAAATTACAATTGCATCATATATAACAGAAAAACACCCTAAGCTCTGATACCACTGATGGGTTTTGAGCATTACAACATTCCTATGTGCACATGCAACCCTATTTGCGTTGGATCTAGGTTTTTCTCAAGTTATGCATGCAAAATAATTTTCCAAAGCAAATCTCTAATCCAAGATACAAGAAAAACGAAATCTAATCATATTAGGGTTTAGAAGAATACATATGTTGTTAGTAGCTTGATCTTGACCGTCAAGAGCTTAGTGCCTCAAGCTTTGCACTTCTAATGGAGTGACAAACACCACTCAGGAAAGAATGAAGAAGAGAGAAGTGATGGAGGCTACTTGATTTCGCTAGGGTTCTCTAAGAATGCCCAGGGGAGTTCAAAGTGTTCGATCGTATAGGGTTCCGAAAAAAATAGGGTCCGAAAATAATCCTATTAACATAGTAACGTTATATATATATATATATATATATATATATATATATATATATATATATATATATATATATATATATATATATATATATATATATATATATATATATGGGTAAAGTGAATGTACCTAACAACCTTATATAAGCTTAGGTACCTAACCACATCATACTACGTAATTTTGTATCATATTTGCATTGTAATCACCCAAAGTTCTTAAAATTCAACCTGATATCTTGATTGCTTCCAAAATCTTTGGACTTTCACCATTATCTTCCTTCAAATGACGTCTTTCTATCGGAGACCCCCTGGTGGGCTTCATATACTACCGTTACAAATCAAATGGTGTAGGACGAATATAATGGTGAATGTCTGAAAATCTTGGAAGTAAATCAAGTTAAGGGTTGAAGTTTATGAACCTTAGACGATTACAATGGAAATATAATGCAAACCAATGTAGTATAATGTGGTTAGGTACCTAAGTTTATATAAGGTTGTTAGGTATATTCACTTTACCCATATATATATATATATATATATATATATATATATATATATATATATATATATATATATATATATATATAACTCAGGTTTATAGTTTATCCCCACAAAAAGCAATCAGATAATAAAAAAAATGATTAACAAGAATTTAACCCGGGTTTATAGTTTATAAGGGGTGCGGCTTCAAACCATCTGGACTTAAGTAGGAACTTTTTTTGCTATACATCTATTAGTCTAATTGAAATGGTAAGTGTGCATTAGGAGTTATTTTATTATCTGATAGCTTTTTGTAGGGATATGTATAAGTAGGAACACTTTTGCTATACATTTATTAGTCTAGTTGAAATGGTAATTGTGCATATGCGTCTATAGGGTAGGCCATTCTCCGTTCGATTCCTACTAAGCTTTTGTATTTTATTTTTTTGCATTCCATATATATAACATTGTATATAATATTTTTATTTTATTTTTTAATTTTATTTTTAAAACACATTTTTTCGTGTTTGTATAGGGCCTAAAATATGTCAGGGTCAGCCCTACTAGTAATATGAATATAATCATGTAAAGTTGATTGGGGGTATACGCATAGGCCAGCATCTGTCGATTCCTACTAAGCTTTTAGATTTTAATTTTTATGCATTCAATTTATATAATATTGTATATAATATTTTAATTTTAATTTTTAATTTTATTTTTAAGAGACATTTTTCGTGTTTGCATAGGGCCTAAAATAAGTCAGGGCCGACCCTGCTAGTAATACGAATATAATCATGTAAAGTTGATTGGAGGTATATCCATAGGCCAGCCTCTGTTCGATTCCTACTAAGCTTTTGGATTTCAATTTTTTCCATTCCATTTATATAACATTGTATATAACATTTTTATTTTATTTTTTAATTTTATTTTTAAGGTCTTTTTTTGTGTTTGCACATGGCCTAAAATAAGTCATGATTGACCCTGCTAGTAATATGAATATAATCATGTAAAGTTGATTGGGCGTATATGCATAGGCCAGCCTCTCTTTGATTCCTACTAAGCTTTTCGATTTTAATTTTTCTGCATTCCATTTATATAATATTTTTATTTTATTTTGAAGAGGCATTTTGTCGTGTTTGCACGGGACCTAAAATAAGTCAGGGACAGCCATGCTAGTAATAGGAATATAATCATGTAAAGTTGATTGGGGGTATATAAATAGGCCAACCTCTATCGATTCCTACTAAGCTTTTGTATTTTTATTTTCTACATTCTATTTATATAACATTGTATATAATATTTTAATTTTATTTTTAAGAGGTCTTTTTTCGTGTTTATACAGGGCCTAAATTAAGTCACGACTGCCCTTCTAGTAATATGAATATAATCATGTAAAGTTGAGTGGTGATATACATAGGCCAACCTTTGTTCGATTCCAACTAAACTATTGGATATTATTTTTTTTGCATTCCAATTATATAACATTGTATATAATATTTTTATTTTATTTTTTAATTTTATTTTTAAGAGGACTTTTTTCGTGCTTGTACAAGGCCTAAAATAAGTCAGAGCCGGCCATGCTAGTAATATGAATATAATCATGTAAAGTTGATAGGGGGTATATGCATAGGCTAACCTCTTTTCGATTCTAACTAAATTTTTGGATTTTAATTTTTTGCATTCAATTTATATAACATTGTATATAGTATTTTTATTTTATTTTTTAATTTTATTTTTAAGAGGCATGTTTTCGTGTTTGCACAGAGCCTAAAATAAGGAATATAATTATGTAAAGTTGATTGAGGGTAGTATATCTAGGGCTGTGGAATATGTACCACGGAGAACCAACCGAACCAAGAAAGTTGGATACCAATATATTCGTTAGCCAATATGTTTGGTTGATTGTACCGTACCAATTCAATCAACTCGATACGGTAATGGTATTAAATTTTAATTACCACGGTATTACCGTACCAACCAATTTATATATATATATATATATATATAATATATATATATATATATATATATATATATATATATATATATATATATATATATATAACGATTTAGTAAATATTTATTGCTTTAAGAACTTAATTAAAACCCCCTAAAAGAAGAGCTAAAGTGACTCCACTATTTATAATCAATCACATTTAACTAGATATTTTTTATGCGATCGAAAGTTGATGCTACCGAACATATTTGGTCCCACCTATCGGCATCTAGCTTGCAATGGCAGGGCACAGAGAACTGAATCGAGGTATACTGTATGAACCTTTAAATACACTCTTGTATATCATTCTATACGCAGCCTCTGTCAAGTGAATTTCATCCCAGTTAACAAATCTATTCGGATGAGCACATACAGTTGATGATCGCTCTCCACATAATGCTGATGGGTTGTAATTATATGGCCCTCCACCACCACAACATGCTCTCAAAGGTTGAACAAATCCTGTAATAGTTAACATCATGTTTAGACATGTTTAAAGAAAAGTATTCTCTTGTCTAGTGTTACTTGTATTTATGTCCTAAATCCACAAATCTTGTGTGATATAACATTAATACCATGATGTTTCTAGAAGCTCTTTAACATTTACTACTGATTAGATAGTTTTAAAGAGAAAAAGTTACCAAATTGTGTTGGGGATCGATACAACTGTAATGCAGCATTGTAGTAATCCGCATATATAACATTAACCTTTGGGAAATTCACTCGGATTTTGTGTAATTCCCTTTGGAGTAGTTGGTTGTGGTACTCCTCAAGCTTTTTTATCGAGATTAAACAACCAGTTGTGTTATCGTACATTTTGGCATCTGAGGATTTAAACAATGTTAAAGCAAGTGGGGTGCATTCTATGGGTAAAAGATTTGGAACAACAAATATTTTTCCACCAAGTTCAATGAGTTTCTGCAATCATTTTAATTAATCATAAAGTTAGCCCATCGACACACAAGACACATTCATAAATATTGTTACTTATATTATATATATAATGTACTTACTTTTACTGTTGTGGTGATCTTATCTATAACAAGTGGAACAAATGACTTGACTTGTTTAATGGATTTACCGGCAACTAATTCCATACTGTAGTCATTACCTCCAATCTCTCCCACAAGAAATAAAGAATGTCGAATCTTTAGTTTGCAATCTGCAAATCATACCATGATATAAAAATCAAAGGGTTCTTGTGTTCTTGATAATTATAGTTCCTTAGTGATAAAGTTGTGTAAAAAGTAATCATTTACGTGAAAAACTGGAACAGAAGGAAGACAATGATCGTTTAAACCATTCAAATTCATCTCCTAAAGATACATTTGTTAAAAAATTAAAAACTCCTCTCGCTTCATGAAATGATGAATTCAAAGCGTATGCACCCACCACCGCATAATTCACACCTTTTCCTAGCTCAGTCTTGTTGCCATTCTCCTTGCTTCCAACATATGGTGGTATAAATGGCAACCCCAAACCCTTAGCTTCATGTAGAAACAAAGAAATATAATTTTAATGTGGTGAAAGTAAAATTTTTAATTAGGAATCATTAAATAACTAACAAACCAACCTTTGCCTAGCTAATAAACAATTTTCATTTCGACTGAACTTTTAAAAACTATAGAAAAACGGAACTCGTACATGAATTTAGTCAGTTGCAAAGGGTAAAAGAAATCGGAAATGATTCATAGAAGTGTTATAAGATTTTGTGTTAATAGAAGTTTTATAATATTTAAACATTTGCTACGTTAGATTCGTGCTCCATTACTAGTGAAGTAGATTTCCACTCAACGAAATAAAAGAGTACCTAAAAAATCAATGATGAGTCGACCATCGGAGCATCGGCCTGTGGGTTTATGAAAGAAGGTTTCGCCATAAGGTGGGAAAAAATATTGTGGTGTCGTGATGTTAAAAACTGAGTCTATATTTTTTAGGTTACCAGTATCAGTTAGTGAGTTACCGAAGGCAATAATGGAGGTGTACATGCAATCATTACTAGCATACAAGATTGTAGGCAACAACAACTGCAAAATGAGAAGGAATATTGTATAGGAAAAGTACTGTGATGAAATGGGCATTTTGAGAATTGGGTTATATAGAAAGAGAGTATGCCGGATTTATAGAAGGAAGAAAATTTGTTTGCTTCATAGACATACAACTTTCTTTTGAACAAGTTTAATCTACTCATAAGCAACACATTTTTCGATTCTTGATATTGATACATTTAATACAATCGCCAATAATTCTAAAGTCGAACATGCGTCTTTTTCTGTCACCCTAAGTACAATCCTTTCAAGTGTGGTATGTGGAACAAGTAAATTTGTTCTTAATTTTTGTTGGTTCCGCCATAATTTTGGTTTTCAATTTTGCTTTGAGTTGAATTATTTTAGTAAATAATAATTTTCAAGGAAACTCTAAATAGGTTCAATTTTTTCTATATAAAGTCTTGGATTTGACATGTGATGCACCTAACTTTTAAATAGACATAAATTAATTTTAAGAAGGTGTTCGATACATTCATATCATCACCCGCTCATGATTACTACAATCTCATTATCTCTATATTATTGATATGGTCTTAAAATTAGAGGAATTACTAATGTAGCCCAATCAAGTAATTATTAACCATTTTTAGCAAAAAAATTAGCAATTGGTCAAATATAGCCTAGAAAACGGTAGGTAATTAGATTGGGCAAGCCAAATGGTCTGCTGTTTCGTGATAAGTATAATTGTTTTTTTTTTTTTCATTTTGAACATGTAAAACCGTATGTTATAATAAAATTTACGGTTTCTCTCAGCAATCTACGGTTTCTCAAACCATAGTTTACGGTTCAAGGCTATATATAGTCTATGTTGTTTTTTTAAATAAATGCAGAGTAGTTTTTTGAGATTTATTTTGATAAAAATAGTGTTTGTAAAATGTAGAATAGTTTCTTGACAATTATTTTGTTAAATTTTTTTTTTATAAAATATAAAATAGTTTTTTAACAATTATTTTTATAAAATTATTTTTTTGCTAAAATGTAGATTATTTTTTTTAATTTGTTGACTACTTTTTTTGGTAAAATTGACTACTTTTTGGTAAATTTAACTAGTTTCTTGATAAACTTGACTATTTTTCTTTTATCAAAGATGATTACTATTTTGAACCTATTATATGTGATAAGTATTCTATATTTATGGAATTATTTAATATTTGGGAAGTTTGCTTCTCGAACTTCTTTTTTCTCAAAATTAACATAATGAGTTGTAACGAATATTCCGTATTGCTTATTACGGATTGAAGATGGGTGTTTGTTAATTCTCAATTATCATATGTTTGGACACCCCGATACGATTCGATAATGTTTTATTTAGGTGTTGAATTTTACAAAACCACCATGTTCACTAAATATGTTTATTTGGTGAAGTGCAAGATGGGTCTTCCCGAAAAATCAAAAATCAGTCTGACTTATCAACATCCCGAACAACTCTATTATTGCGGTATTGTTGATGATCGTGATACTAGAATGTTGATCAAGGTAATAAATGTCGTTGGAGATAAATCTGTGCCAGTCTATATGGTAGTTGAAGAAGGCGTTTGGGGTAACAAAGTGGCTGATAGAGGAAAGGCATATGCAGCTAATTTATTGTAACATCCATAAATTTTACGCTAAATTTAAATTTTTTCAATCGTAAATAAAATCAAACAAAGTTTGTTTACAAAAATGCTTTCAAATCCAAATCCATCAGAGTGTCCCAAAATCATAACATAAGGATGAGGAGCGGTACGGTCACGCATTCGCCTTTCCATGATCTTCTGAAATACTTGAAACAATAAACTAAAAACTGTAAGCCCGAGAGCTTAGTGAGCTACCCCCAAAATACCAATACCACACTAACAATATCATATCAGTAAAAATCAATCAATCAACATGCATACTGGGCCATCGTCCTGACTGGACCGCCCTACCGGGCCTACAGTGTATCTGAATCTATCCCGAGCCTTCGACATGACTGGTCCGCCACGTGGGCCTACAGTCTCCCTGGACCGCTCATAGGGTATATTGGCCTTCAGCACATAGCAGGACCGCCTCAACCCAACCACAAGCAAATAACCATGTGCGCATACTATCATATACAACCATATACAAACATCAAACAAATCTGTCACATTGATCATCAATCATAGAATTCTCCTGTAACTAGAGTACCGACCTAGCAGGTCACTAACATATCAATTCCTACGAATCATAAGAGCATAACATATTGTCTACCCCGATTCCGATCTAACAAATCATAGCCACATGTAGCATACCATAACAATAAAAACTAAAGGGTCGGCCTTGGTGTCGTAGACCCTATCGATATAGTAAGGATAACTCACCTCGCAGATGTCGACACGAAAGGTAAACTCCAACTCTCAGATCACTTGACACAGGCTCCACCACCTATTATCATATTACATCATACTCATAAGTCCTTAACCTTATAAGGTACTTCATAACCCACTAGTCAACCCCTGGTCAAAGTCAAAGTCCTCAGTCAAGGTCAACAGTCCATGTTGACCTTAACTCGCCGAGAACCCTTGGCTACTCGTCGAGTTCCCTGAAGTACCTTCCATCTCGCCGAGTCATCGGAGTGACTCGTCGAGTTCCTTTGATTCTCGATCAAACTTTAAGGCCACCCATCGAGTTCCCTCCTTGCAACTCGACGGATACACGCTCATACATATCCAAGAGAAAACTCATCCGACTCACCGATTTGTTCTTCAACTCATCGAGTTTATGGAAATCTTCATCGGACTCACCGAGTTGTTCATTCAACTCATCGAGTTCACGGCCGTCTTAATGTGACTCACTGAGTCAACCTTGCGACTCGCCGAGTCCATTCAGTCCTTTTTCCATACAGATTAGTTTTGAGCCATGCAACGACTCCAACTCATAGATCCAAGCTTCTAGGGCATGCTTATCACGTAAAGTTGCAAACTTTACGTGCATGCATGGCTATAAAGGCTCTAAATGCCTATTTTAATTTCTTAATGGAACTTCATGCTCAAGAGGGACCTTAATCACAACCAAAACTGTGACTTAATGCTTCTAAAATCCAAGGAGGGTCCAGATCTGAAGTTACAACTTTAGATCTAGCTAATAGCTCATCATAACAACTTGAAAATCCATAAAAAGCCCTAGAAACTCAACAAAAGGGAAAAAGGGAAGTAAGGATGGCACTTTGATACCTCTAAAGGATGCTAGCTGAGGTAAATCCTGCTTCCCACTCCTTCCTTGCTTCAATTCCCTTGCACTCCTAGCTTTCTTCCTCCAAGATTCTCTTTCTAAGCTTCAAACACCATACAAAGGCACTCACACACGTATAAGGACTCTCAGGACTCTCTAGATCTGTAAAGAGACCCAAGGGAGGCTGAGGTCGCTTTATATAGGGGTGCAAACCCCGGGATTTAGGGTTTCCTCTGCCAGCTCCTACTCGCCGAGTCCTAATATGGACTCGTCAAGTATGTCACTTAATACGCGATCTCATCTAGCTGCTACTCGACGAGTAGGTCAACCAACTCGTCGAGTAGAGCTTAACCCAATAAATCTTATTTAAGCAATACCTGAGAATCAGGGCGTTACATTTACCAAGCGGAAGACGGTGCAACACCCAAATAGGTAATTCTAAAAGTCCAAGTAAAAGTCAATATCATAGTGTGGTTGAAAACGTAAAAGTAGTTCCTGAACCGATTATCTATGTGACACCCAAGAATTATAAGTATATTGGTGATAACGATGTTGGTACATATGTTAATGATGTGGGTGCAAATTATTAGTTTAACCAAAAACCACTAGTTGTGGTCAATAAGGTTGGTAATGAATCTCAAAAACAAAAAGTTCCATTTTTGCATGATGCTGAACTAAAAGGATATGGCGAGTTTACGGATTGTGACAAGTTTGATATATTTGTTGGATTTGGTGTCTAAGCTTATAACTATAACTGGGATGTACTTGACCCGATTGTAGCATGTTCCTTTTGGGGTGCCTTCACCAGTGCAATTTGATAGGATGGATTTTTTAGAATAAAGTTATTTATGATTTAATAATATATTACAAGTATAATATATTAATATGAAATCATATTATTTAATTATTATTGATCAATAATTAATTTGGTATTAATTTTGTGATCAAAAGAGACTAATTAAATATATGGGGATTGATTGTGTAAATCAATGATTCTAATAGTCTGGGCTAATAATCCATGGTTATTTAGGATAGGCTAAACCAATGAGATAATCCATGGAGGTTTTAACCCATGGAGCCTAAGTAATATGAAACGTCATTATGGTTTACAAGGTGTAACCCTAGCACTTGCCACACTATAAATAAACCCCCCTAGAGACAAAATTGGTTGCTACAATATGCTTGGAGAGTGTGTATTGATTTTGTGCTAAATAACTTATTCTCTCAAGCCTCCTCTTGCATATTGGTGTTTGTGAACAATTAGAGGCATCACACTTAGGGTGCTCAAGCTTTCAAAGGTCAAGAACTACAAGTCCTTATAAGAAGTAAGTCATGTAACTAGTTGTATTGTTCATTTAACAATTTGTATGTTGGTTAGGATATATGCTTTGGAAAATTGAAAATATGCATGTATAATTAGAGAAAACATAGATCCAAAGCATTTAGGGTTGCATGTGTACCATATAAGTGTTATAGTGCTCAAAACCTAACATTGGTCTAAGAGACTAGGATTGTTTTCTATTATATTTGATGCTTGCTATTTTTCAAAGTTGAAAAAAATCGATTATCTGGCCTCTGACTGGTGAACTCGCCGATTCCACTCAGTAACAAGGACAACTCAACGAGTCAGTTCATGCATTCGTCAAGTCCAAGGCACTAGTTGTAGAATTTCGAGTTTTTTTTGGCATAGATTTGATTGGAATCATTACTACAAACTGTTTTACATCATTAAATCGGTTTTTATGATATGATAGTGATTATGCTCATCCAAGCACAAGATAATTGTCAAAGTTGCTTGAAAAATATTGACTTGATATTATCTTGTTTATGAGTTTAGTTGGATCAATCTTAAATTATATGAT